AGCGCGATTATGAAGGAGCGCGAATAAAACGCGCAACGTCGTGGTGCCTTCACGTGCGGGAAACCGAAAAAAAAGAGAGAAGGGAGACGTCGCGTGCTTCTACGCGCCGATAGAAAGAAAGTCCCCCTCGGAGAGACGGCGGCGTACAACTTCGTTCGCGAAGAACAAAGAGAAGGGAAATGAAAGAGACACAAAGAGAATAGAGATAGAGAGAAGAGTAATAATAATTTAATGAGATAGAACGCAAAAAAAGAGAACGAATAGACTTTTATACACTTAAAAATCGTTAAAAATTCTTTTAGTCATACGCTTTTATTAATAATGTAGGTATGTACACATATACACAATGTACAGAAAACCCGTGGCGCTGGGTCCGAATGTCCGTCGTAGTATGTTTATTATATAGTACAACGAGCGAAGTGGCATAGGTAGAAAGAGTATACAAACGAAAGGATAGAAAAAGAGGGCGGCGAAATCGCCGCGGTGGCGATGCCGTCTTTCGCGTTAATCATTAATTAAACTCACGAGCATCCTCGAACGTGAAACAAAAAGTAAGGTGCAATACGACCGCGTGCTAATGTCGCGGCACCAAGTCAACGTTTTCCGTTCCGAAGTGTGAGCGTGTAGTGTTTTATGTGTTGCGCGCGTGTGTGTGTATGTGTGTGTGTGTGTGTACGTGTGTAGTATGCCTGTTGCGTGTATATGAAAAAACCGCGAGCGATTACACGCCCGCGATACAAGAGACAATGAAGAAAAGGCGTATCGAGCCTAAGTACAAACCCAAACCGGGCAACAAATCATCGTCGTCATCGTCAGCTAACGCGACCTGAAATACGCGCCGAGTACTCGCGTGTTCTCGCTCAAATCCACGAAAAGAAATAATTGCGCTGCTTCCGTCGCGTTAATTAATCCGCTCGCTACGAAAATTCGTATTTACATGTGTGCAGCAGAATACAACCGACCACCAGCGTGCAAATTTGCCAAAGACTTCTTCTCAGAACCCCTCGCAAATGATGGAATACCGTTACGATCGTCGATCAATTTCGTCGAAAAACGCGTCGTCAGCCGCCGGCTTCGAACAAAACCAAATCGTCCACTTTCCCTCCCAAAAATATCCCCCCCCCCTTTTTCCCCTTAATCGACGACATCGACAACTTTGTGAGAAATCCGTGTCGCACCAGACAACGTCTTTGGCTCGAGTCGTTCGTTGGCTCTCCCGCGTATCGCCAACGTGTCCTTATCACCGTTACCAAAAGCGTTTCGGCGAAACCCTTCACGGTTCCAACCATTTTATAACAGCCCCTCTGAGCGTAAAGGGGGACAAAATTTGAGCCCTGAATCGACTTTGCGGGAGACTCCTTTAAGTTTCCCGCTCCTTCTTAACCTTCAGCCCGGTGCCGGTGGCGTCCTCGCCCAGAATGGTAGCGATCTCACCCTGCATGAAGGCCCAGGGCACCTGGCTGTTCGCCAGCGGACATTTCTCGCCGCTCGGACAGTAAACCTGAAACGAACACGAGCGGAGAAACAGTCGGTGAATGAAGGTATCGATCGGGGCGCGGAGGGGAAAGGTGAACCACGAATGTCTCACGAGAAATACTCACCTCCGAGCCGGCGCCCTGTCTCTTTATGCTCTCACGGCTGCACGGGAAGCAGAACTTGTGATGGGGCACGCTGGGGCACTGAACGAAGTGCGTGTCCTCGAGGCGCTCCTGGCAGAGCGTGCACTTCAGAGTTGGCGCCGAGACTGGTTCAGCGCCGGCGGCCTGGGCGACCGCGCCTTCGGACGACGTTGTGACAGTCGTGGATGAAACTTGCCTCGAACTGCTGGACCGTCTGCCCGACGAACCTACAAATTAACGCATTCAGACACGTTCTCTTTCGCGTTTCGATCCTGCGAAAAAGTTCAGCTTCGATATGTTGAACACTTCTCCACAGATTGCAATCGACTTGCGTCAATGTCTAATCCCGATCTAAGTCTCAATGTATTTTATGACCGCGCAAACATGACGCGTTTTATCGAGCATCGAATAATAGAGAGAAAAAAAAAACGGTGGAAAATCAAATGCAATGACGTTGGAATTACCTGAACTATTCGGGCTGTGCTGAGAGCCTCTAGAAGCGCTGCGCTGCTGAGCATTCGCAGCCGTGGTCGGCGGACTTCTGCTGGTCGGGCTGGGATTGTTCGGCGGCTGTGGCACGGGTTCCGGCGACGTCAGATTGTCAGCGACTGACATTAGAGCGGCCATCGGTGACGGGCCGTTCGCCGAGCCCTGAAAGGGGGAAGCGTCATCGTCAGCTGAGGACGTTCCAGATTACAGGTTTACAAGTGGACTTGTTTGTTCCGTGGGCGTTCGGCGTGCCAAAGAAGGCGCGCGGAAACGTTCATTGTACGAGGATAAAATATAGGACCGTCCGCCCTCTCGCCCTGTGAATGGACCGGCCGGGGCCTCCGCTACAGGTGATAATTGCTACCGTGTAGCTCGTACGCACCTGATGATGATTCGACTGTGAATTTTCGTTGGCGCTCTCCTGGGTCGGCGGCGGCGGTGGCGGAGGGCTCGTTCTTGGGCGAAGGGGCGATCCTCCGCCATTAGCGGCCACGTTAGCCGGCGCCAACGGTATAGACGGTCCCACATACGCCCCTGAAAATGTACGTCTCGCGTTAAACATATATATTTCTGAATCTTGGATCGTTACAAAACACGCTAAATAAACGAAACACTGGGAATTTTTCCGGGCGAATATCCCGACAAAAATATTCACGTTTAAAATGTACGAATTTTACGGCTCTCTCCGCTTTTTACTTTCCACTTTTCTAACTTTGCTTTCGCGACAAGGTCCACTTTTCTAACTTTTTCTCCGTATTTTTCTAACTTTTGCCTTTCAATTTTATTTTCGTTTATTTCGCGCTGCTTTCTTTAAAAAGTAAAACTCTCTTTTCCTTTACGATACAGCTAACATTCAGACGTCCTTTTCGAGATGAATTCCTTAATTGTTATTTTATCAAGTGCAAAATAAAGATCAAACATCGCAGCTTGGTGATCAAATTTCATAAACTTTCCTCAGATATTACATTTCTCCGAAGAGACATTACACTCGTTCTTATCGCAACAAGAGTCGTGGGATCGGCGAAAAAAATGAATGACACGAGAATAAACACGTTACATACATAGGCTTTCCCAAGGCGCGAGTGATCGATACGACGGCGAGGGATCGCCATTTATCGAGAGTTCAGATTGTCCTTGCCTACTCCACTTTTTTCCCGCGTGCAATCCGCGTGGACTGCTCCCTCCCCTTCGCCCCTCTTGTAATAATCGCCTTTACAGCACAATGACTTCATTGGCGAACAGATATAAATGTCACATCGATACCGAGGATGGTAGCGAAGCGATTACGACGAACACAAGTGAGTCGCTTATTCGCGCGCGTCAGATTACGTCAGTGAACAGCGGGATCGTTTCTCGGGCACGCTCGACGGACCTTGAATCGAGATTTCTATGGATCTGCGGAATCTGCGCCTCAACAAATCCGAGATTCGATAAACTGACATTATTAATCATCGCAGAGTTAAAGACATTTGTAACATAAATACTTGCATCAAAATATTCCAAGATCAATTAAAACTGAATAAAAACCTAATGCGATATTATTGTATCCACATTTTAAAGTGAATCTACATCGTATTTAAAATAAATGTCACAAAATCATAGACTTGACTTCAATTTTAACTAGAATAAGAAGAGGTATCGTTATTTTGCTCGAAAATTTTTGACGCAAAATTATAGCGAGAAGTCGTCTTTATCGATCTTTCCCGCATAAATAATGTAAACTTTTCACAGTTATATCGAGATCGCATCGACATTATTTGCGTAGCTGCTACACGCTTGTCATTTATGCGTGCCGAAAAGTCGGCCTTAATCGCGCTACGGTTGTAAGACCGCGAGTTTGTCACGAGGTGCATTTTGATAATGTTTACTCGGCGTGCTGCTTAAGAAGCAGCACAGAAGCCGGTTAACACGCCAGTCGCGTGTACGCGTACGCGCGATGACTACGACGACGACCGACGGGCATATCATCACGACACGGCCACGTTACCGTATTGCGTTGTATCGTCATTGGCCTTCGACACGCGCCGAACGTTTATCCGATGCTCTTGCTCCACACAGTCGCGGATCGATTTGTCCTTTCAGAAGCGAATCTCGTACAAACTTTCTATCGGCGATATTTCACTCGCTGCTCGCGATTTGAACATTGATAAGAACACCGAGGATCTGGTGCAAAATTTCTCTCTCAGCATTATTTCTCTCACCATTTGAGATTTGAACATTGAAATAAGAATACCGTATAATTCGATAAATCTAGATTAATTTCCATTTCCATTATCGCTGCTTGCGAATCAAGAACGTCGCAATTCGATCGTTTTAATAATAATAATAGACGAGCAAAATTTGTTGTTCCTGTTTTCTGTCGGTTCTTTTATTGAACGGGAAAAAAAATATCAATTTTCTTTTTATAGAAAATTTATCGATTCGAGGAATCAAGCGAAGCGGTGAGAATTCTGAGAAAATCGCGTGATATAATGAATATATAATGAGCGCGACAAGCATCGCTCTTGCTTGCGCCAATCATTTCCGATCGTCGCAGCGATTTATTGTGCACACATCTCCCTGCTGCACTTGCCGCGTCCCTCTGATCGCCGTCACGATTCGTCGCGAGCGGAATACTTGTTTAAATTACGGCATTTGGCACGGCGCCTTTATACGCGCGTTGACTGACTCTGTCTTCGACTTTGACGGTTTCCGCGGTAATTACGTTCGCGAAACGCATTCCAAAATATTTTCCGACGATTCGAAACTTACGAAACGCATTCCAAGTACATTTCCGACGATTCGGAACTTACGAAACTTCGATACACTTATCGCCGACTTATAGCCATGAATCTCTGACGAGATACGCGTAAAATGTGATAACGTAAAAGTGAGATAAGTTGAACTTTGGAATTTGATATGAGATGTTCCGTATTCGAATTCTATATTTAATAGCCAGCCTACACTCGATATCGTGCGTTTTCTTTTCGTGTGAAATTTAAGATAGTGCACTTCGCTATCGCGAATAAAAATAACTTGTTCATTCTTGGATAAATATAAGCGAAGTGACGAGAGAGAGAGAGAGAGAGAGAGAGAGAGAGACGCGGAAAGTTGATTAATTCAAAGCAAGATCTTCAGAGTTTCCTTTTGTCATTTTCGAAAGATACGTGGCGCTCGCGCGTTAATTCCGAAATGCTGCGTAAAATAAAATAACGAATATATTGTAATTCCACGCGGTATCCACATTTCCGCAAAATTAACGCGATCCATGCGGTAACGGACGGAACGAGGCACCGATAATCAATCATTAATATCCGATGTGCATCATATTTTGCGATAATCGCATACGGAGCGCTGTTTTACAGACGAAATATAATCCCGCGCGTAGATAGAATAAATCACACGCTGAATAAACACGATTCGCGGATTTTAAAATCCGCTCAGCAGCTGTGCATCATGAATATTCAAGCGTGCCGCCGATCATAATCTACAACGGAAAGAATCTGCATTGCGATAACAATCCCCCCCCCTCCTCCCCCCTTGCGCCTATTCTTCCCGCAGATGCAAAAACGTCATCCGCGTCCGTCAGTGCTATTTTTAATCGCCGGGCTAAAATACGCACGGCCTATCATCGTCGCACGCGAAGCGTCACACAAGACGCTCCCCGGCGCGTCTCTCCTCTCCTCGAAGGGTCAGAGGTGACGAACGCGCCGGCAAGAATCGACTCTTGCACACAAGACGGTCGACTTATCTGGATAAGAGGAGAGGGAATCATCATTCGGTCACGGCTGTTCGCGGTGACACGCAATCCCGCGTGCAGATACGCGCGCCGCGTCTCCTTCGCTCCCTTCCTCGCCGCTCCTCTCGCAAATCGTAGTGTGTACGTACACCGAGAGTCACCGAGGCCTCGCCTATGGCGCACGGAGCAGATAGAAGGGAGAGGGAGGAGAGGGAGAGCGCGAGAGAGAGAGAGATGTGCCACCGGGTAGACGTGTGACCGGTACTTTTCCGTGACGGCTCCGATAGACCGACGACGGCGCGACGACGTTTGCGGCCGCCGTTTTCTCCATCCCGCGAGATCGCGACGGCGAGCGAGTTACGCGCGGCCGCGCGAGCGGGACAGCGCGAAGACGGCGAGACGAGAGAGGAGGAAGAAACGCGTGCTCGACTCTCCGTAACCGACACATCGCATCACGCACGTAGGCGGCCCCCGGCTTAGTCACACTCGATCAGGACTGTGCCAAGCGCGCGCGCGCGCGCGTGCTTCTCGTCGTTTTATTCGGACGATGCTTTGACGCCGCATCCTCTCCGCTCTCTCTTTTTCTCTCTTCCGAGTTGCTTTTCTTCAGCGGAAACGATAACCGAAACTGTTTTTGTTGCCGCTCGAACGAATAGCCGATTTAACTGCGTGTGAAAGCTCGCCGTTGAAAAGTTGACGCGAGAACGATAAATACCGAGAAATTCTGAACGGCTCTGAGCGTTTTTCGCGCAAATCGGAGCATGAGAAAATGTGTTATTCTAGAGCAGCACGAAGCAGATTACCGAGATTTCGCAGTATCGATAGAGAGAGAAAGAGAGGGAGAGAGAGAAAAGTATTAGTCATACTTTCGTCGAATATACGTACTTTCTAATTATCTTCCTAAATTATGCATATATTTTGCACTATGCATTATTCAAAATAATTAAAAAATAGATGCGAAATTCAAATATAACAATACTCGACTTTTGCTTCTCGAACTTTTTTTATGACTAGCCTACATTTTTATCGCGATCGTCTTCTAAAAATTACGTATTACTGTCGACGTAAAATCACACGTAATCTAAACATTCAGACAGACTTTTTTTCCTCAATTGATTACTCGAACTCTTCCCTGATATTGTTCGTCCTTATCTGATAATAAGTTCAATCTTCAGCCTGTAATCTAATCAAAGCTCAACCTTTACGTGCATTATTTTGATCGTCGCGAATGCAGGAATTTAACACGTAGAACACATTTGCAAAGCTGTGTGTTTTCTAAAATTAGGGCCAAATGTATATTCGGTAAAATATAAAAAAAAAACGTCTAATTGTAAGTAGAGAAAGTCAATCAAAGCAAACTCAACCTTAACATAAAACATATGCTTGTAGAATTATCGTTTTTGTAAAATAAAAAAAAAAATATCTATACAAATGGATAAAACAGTCGTGTTGTTGTTCGAATAAACTTTTAAATAGATCGATAGTTTTGCTAGCTGTTACGTGATCGTGCCAACAACAACGGGAAAAAAGTGTATTTATTTTTAACATTATCGTTTATACTTCGCTGAAATAAAATTTTATCGGTTTCGATGACTCAGTCGAAACGCACGAGTCTAAGTAGTGATTCAAATAGACGTTCCATAAATTGCTTCCTTAACTGTCAGCGATAACTTCGCGTCAAAGCTTGAAATATTCATTAGAAGTCGAAGTCAAGTAATCTTATCGCTTGCCAAGTTTTACCCCTCTTGACCCTTTATCTTTCGCATACGTAAATATTACACGACACATTGAGTTACCACTTATCAGTACGTCTGGG